TGTTGGGAAGTTATATTTGTGTCTGTCATCCTGACTCAGATCCCTTAATGTGGTTAGTATTTCTGTTTCGTATTCAGGAGGTCCAGTGTTCAAATCTAGGATCAGACACTGACTAAAGGTTTTTGTGGTTTTCTTCAGTCCCTTGACGCAAGTGATGGGATGCCTTAAATTAGGCCACGACCATTTCCTTCAACATCCTCTGTGTTATATAAACACTGTATAATTTGAGCTGCTGACAGCGTCGTCGAATAAATTGTGAATAAACAAATAAATAAAAACTGGGACAATTTTAAAATAAATATAAAAGTAGTGGAAGATGTCAACATAAAAAATTGAGTGATTGTGAAGGTTTTACTGTTGACCTATTGCAGGATGAATACCATATTTATATTCCTGTTTTGTGTGATTGTTAGTAAGAATGGCAGGATCTTGCAGCCCTAATTTTTTTCATTGAAGTCTCATTAAATTGTGCAATACCAGAACAAACATAACTTTCAGCATAGAATTTTACTTCTACGAAACTGAAGAATAAAAGCAGCACTGTGTTGGCAGGCCTGTTAAAACGTGTTACCTGTGTGAAGAGTTTGTTGTAGCCCTGCTGGCTGTATTGGTGGCTGGTGTAGCCAATCATGTTACGACATGCTCCCGGCTCTCGCTTCTGCACCATGTATTCGGCCGTTTTTAAACTCTCTTTAACACTAACTCCTAGCAAAAGGAAGAATATTAATAGCGAATGCAGAAGTGGATTGTGCAGAAGTTGCTCACAGTACGGTCTGTTGATACTGATGTCATCGTGGTAACGTCTGAACAATACTGATGCCAGTTTCACAATAGTCTGTATTAGAGCAGTCCAAGGAATCTCAGTTAACATTGAGATTGCAGTACATCATCATTTGACTTCGGTATAACGTTCCTCTGTTACAACAATTAAAATAAGTTAACAAATCAGAGAGTTACAACAACGAAACACACTCACTTGACGCACGCTCTATTTTCAGTAATTCAAGTATAATCTCACTGACGTAACGCAGTTCAGTGTGCACTGGTATATGAAGCTCACAGAGCCGTTCTTGATGACGGATTCGCACGCCGACCTTGTTTCAGGCACCTGACATCGACACACTGACCCAGCTGGAAGCCACTGACATAACCTGCACGATAACACACGCAAAGTAACTTCTGTCGGCTTAGACGTTTATACCCCTTCTATTTTGTGTGCTTCGAACGCCCGGTGTGTTCTGAAGGTGTGTGTAATGCGTGTTGTATATCGTCGTTTTCCGACAGGAGTTGTTTCTCTACTCATTGTACCAGTTTGTACGTACTGCTGCTACGATTATCTGCGCATGCGTTAGTATCGATTGAAAACTTAACAGGCAAACCTCGTCCATTTTACTTGTCCTGGTGGGGGTGGTTGCATGCTTGTGTTCTGTTTGTTTGAGGAAATAAAGTTAAGTAAATGAAGAAGAGGCTTCATACAAAAGGATGCAGACTTCGAAAATGTAATGGTAGTAGTATTTTGTTCTGTACTTCGATTGTACGTATATTACAGGAACTAGCTGTAGCCGTGTTGATTATTAAACGAGAATTGTACTGGCCACATGGTAGATGCGACAGAAAAAGGAAATGAAGATTTTAACAGTAATATCTCTGGTTTCCGTTGTAAAGGTAGCTTATTCGAATTCGTGTTATTAGCTGTCACGGCTAGTGATCCCCTCCCATATATTGTTCTAGACTCACGTAGTACGTATAACAGCTGTGCATAAATGTGTAGTAATTTGACTCTTATAATGGACAAAGGTTATGTAACTAAAGCTTTAAATTTCGGTCACTGCCTCCAAAAATATGCTGGAATTTCATTACGAATATCAGGCGTTTAACGGTATTTAGAAAAGCAATTGCTGTAAGATTTTCACGGTCGATTAGCAACGTCAGGGATGAGTCAAATTCCAAACTTTCCGAAGACTAGATCTCTCCCTATCATCGGGGTCATATAACACGCCAATACCCAGGGTGAAACTGCTAAAACTGATCAGAAAATTTGTTCATTCCTCAAACTTACTCTGGTGATGGAGACAATCTTCTAAACTTTGGAATATGACGCGGGTTAGCGCCCAAGTAAATTATGCAACTTTCACAAGCCGTGAAATTTTCAAGTCCTACAAAAGCAATTGCTATTTATTTGGATACGCACTTAAACTGTAAAAATACTACGGACGAGCTGCAGAGTTATGGAACTTCTAAAGATGGTTATAACTCTTCTTAACCCTCTGTTCATTAGTGGTAGTTGGACGAAATAAACGTATGTACCGGTAATAGTAACACTTATATCATTTTAAAACTAAGATTATTGTTAAATATTATTTTCCGAATAAAAGAATGGATAAATCAAGTGAGATGAGATGGGCGGCTTATGTAGCACGAGACGAGAAGTGTTTATGAAAGTTTTGTTGGAAAGCCTGAAGGGAAGAGGCCACTCGGAAGACATAGGCGTCGAAATTAAATGTGATCTTAATGAAATAAGTCAGGAGAGTGTGGACTGGATTAAAACTGGCTCAGAAGTAGGACCCGTGGCTGTCACGTCTGAGTAATATTATCAAACGTGAGGAAGTGGATTATGCAGAAGTACATTTTAAGATTCGTGTGTAATTAGACAGCCCTTTACTTTATGCAGTTACGCACGCTTTATCTCTTAAACAGAACTCTGACTGTACTCTAGAAACAGATGATGTTGTCTACACCACTGGCAATGGTAAATTTAAAGTTGTCTCTCAGCGTTGTGTGGAGGCGTATGTGGGAGTAAAAGCACAGTTGCACACTTTTGACATCGGTTCTAGATGGAGGTCAGTTTCAGACATTATTCATAGTCGCAGAAAATCTCTTTGATAGCTATTTTACCATCTTGTTTTGTCATACGGGACTCTAGGTCCCCCAGATATAATTTCTCTACAACTTCGTACCCCAAAAGTTGCTGATGTATAATTCAAGTTATATATAGTATATAATCTACATTTAAAATAAATTAAATAAATTACATTACTGATTATTCAGTGTTTATCATGAAATAATATATATATTTCTTAAATTTCACGTACCCCCTAAGATATCTTCGCGTACCCCCGGGGGTACGCGTACCCCAGGTTGAATACCACTGCTCTAGGACACCGAAATGATGTAGGAGCAAAATGTTTGTCATTGGTGCCCTGAAATTTATTTGGGTTCGGTTACTGCCTATAATGACTGAGAGATTTGTGTCTGAGGGCGATTTTTGGGGCAGTACCTTGAAAATAACACGAAATCGTGGTCTAAATCAACGTCATTGAATAACCTAAGGATCAAAGATGTTTATAAAAGTGTGGGGTGCAATTGGGTCACGAAGTTGGCTGTTGATGAATACTAGATCGTATACGTCAGCGCATCATGAATGCAGAAAATGATCTTGAAGATGGATCGCTCTATACATTAAGTTTTGTTTGGTCTTCTACATAAGAAAGAATAATTGTTTTCTGAAAGCTGCCTACATTTCAGAATGTATATAAAATATGTAGATTTCTCTGAAAATCAGTGATGTCAGTATGGAAATAGTTCCAGTCCTTATTGATAGAGGTAGAGACAGTCTAGGAAATTTTTGACATGGCTGATTTTCCGAGATGATTGCATTAATTGCAGTCGCCGTAAAGCTTAAAATCTTATATTGTATAAATATATTTCTATATACAGGTTTTGTCTTAGTAAACAGAATTAATGTTATTTCTTTCTGGTTACCGGACATCTATTCTGTACGTTAGAATACTGTACAGGAACTCCAGAAGCAACACAGTTAATATGAAGACCTGAATGTTAGTAAAGTTATTATACAAGAAAAATGACCAGCTTACAATTCGTGAACAATTGTAATATTTAAGAGTAAACATTTAAGCACTTGTGTGAATATGTTTTCTTTTTCGAATTCAGTTGAAATAATGTTGCTTCTTGAAGTTTTATGACGGTGGTTGTGTCTTCGCACTGCAAAAACAGTTCATCACGCCACACTGTCCATTGACTGTGACGTATTTAACACAGACGATGATTTTGAAGTTGACTTCATTCCGCCTTCAGGTGAAGGTTGTCATACTCCGAAACGATGGTAATTAGCTAAAAGAC